ATTCCTGGCTCTTCCCCGTTGACTTGCTCCAGGCAGAGTAAACATGCTTTGAGCAACTGCCAGCAAGCAAGTTAAAAGCTGCTCCTCTAGCAGGCCTGCAAAAAACATTCTAAAAGGCAAAGCATTTGCTGCGTTTCCTAGGGGGCAACTGTGGGAAGTCTCTGCTTGGTCAGCAGCCAGTGCAGACGGGCCCTGGGTGGCTGATGACAGCTGGCGAGGCCCGATCTTAATCCCATTCCCCGCCCCTCGGAGGCCCCTGTGTCCTGGGCCACACCTAGGACTTCTCTGCCTTTCCACTGCCCTCCTTCCAGGAACCCAGGTAACAGTCACAGAGAAGTCTGTCTTGTTTCATTGTATGTTGGGTTCCAGAAAATAATTGAGTTTAAGGGAGGCCACTACAAAGCTGTTTTAGAAATACTTTGGAAATACTCAGATGATGGTGGAAATCGAAATGAAAGATGTTAAGTTTTTGCTGCTGATTAGGGATTGTGAAGTGTGTTGAACTCAGATAAAAATGTAAACTGGTAGTAATTACGGAGTGAGTAGCCTACGGATTGCCTTCTTTCCATGATCCCATTTAATCTTTTTTTTTAGCTCAACTTTCCTTGATGTGTGATTTACACACAAGAAAACTCACATTAAGTACAGATGGATGATTCTGACAAATGTATACGCCCATGGAACTACTGTCCTAATAGAGATAAGAAATCCCCTGACCCCATACTGGCTGGTCCGAGTACTGTCCCTAGAGGTTCGTTTTGCAGCTTCTGGATGAAGCTTTTGTCGGGCATGGATGTTTACTGCTGCTCCTGGGAAGGCTGGGAGGCAGTGCCTGGCCCTGAGTCACAGTCTGAGTCCAGAGCACTTCACCCTCCCTGGCCCTTGCATCCGTGTCTGGGCATCTGAAGGAAGTGCTGGTGGAGCCACAGGACTGAATGTGACGTCCATCGATTTTGCACCCTGAGCAGTATCTGAACCTGTGGTTTTTGTGATAGAGAAATTGAGAGATTCCAAACAGGCTGAAGGCCTGCGGGACCTCTTTGGGAATCTGGACCGAGAGGGAAATCCCTTGGCTTACTGCAGCAAGTATTTATTAAGTGGCTACTGCACGCACTGAACTGTGCTGGCTGACGTGGAAGATGTGAAATGAAGTTTAGGCCCCCCACCCTTGAGGAGCTTTGTGGTTCCAAGAAACAGTTTAGAAAGAATGATTCCAGGCAAGACAAAGTGCAAAATGAAAATGCGGGGTCCCTTGTTCAGAAGGCAGGAGAAGGTACTGTTAAAGTTCCTAAAATAGGCAGCCTTTTCCTTTCTTCAGTCTCTCTTGTCATGGTGTTTTTCAGTTGCTATTTTATTATTTATATTTTATTTAATTATATATTATTTTATTATTTATTGTTATACTGCATTCTCAGCCTTGAGTTTTTCATTTATCTTTATGTTGCGCAACTTCAATTTTAAGTTTAAATGCAAACATAGGAACACTTAACTCATATGTATGACAGTATTTTGTAACTTGTGCACACCTATGTACTTTATTCTTACCAGAACTGGAAGCTCTGCTCAAAACTGCCTCAACTATATTGATTTCCCTTCTTGACATATGCCAACTCTACCAACACTGTCCGCCTTCGGCGCCTGGTGCTGGAGCGGAGACTGCGGACGGGAACCCGGGGGCTCTGGGGGTCGCCCTTGCCCCCCATGTGTGTGTCTCGTGTGTGTGGCTGGCCTGTTGGGAGAGGCACCCAAGGAAGGAAGGAGAGGGTAGAGTTTCTGGCCTGCTGGTGTTTCTGTGAACGCCGTTGTTGCGTCCTTCCTGCGTTCAGAGCCGGTTCTGCTTGGAATGGAAAGGTGGCCTCTCCCGGCTGCGCCAGGTGTCGATGTAGCTCGCGCCTCGGCCTTGCTGAGTCTCGCTGATCCCACCGGTCGTGGGTCCGCCGGGATCCTGTGCTTCTGGGTCGTGGGGAACACGGTGAGCCGCTGGGGCTGCACGGACCTCCTCTCCTGGCTAGTAGGCGCTCGTGCCCTCATTACTTACGCAACACATGTACAAATACGATTGCTAACTGTCCTGGGATAGGGACTGCTTCTGGGTGCGCATTCCCCGGGCAGGCTACCCTGGTGTGTGCTCCGCGCCTGCGGAACACCTGCGGGCACCTTAGGGACGAGGATGGAAATGGAACCTGGTGGGGGGTGTTCCCGGGCCATGGCTGCCGGGGGCCCTTCGGGGGCTGGGAGTTGTTTCTGTTCTGCGTCTGCGCAGGAGGCAGGAGAGGACACCTCCTCCTGGAGCTGGCGGAGCCCCTGCAGGGCAGGGAGGGGCGTGAAAGCAGGTCTTCAGCCTGGCCATCTGTGTACATCGCGTTTCATCTCCTAGTTTCCCCGTCTGTAAACTGGACAGCGGTGGGGAGTGAGGCGATCTCGCTTTGAGTGTTAGCGTAAGCGAAGCATCTAGCATCTAACACGGTAAAAATGCTCTCAGTCCTGGGGGTGGCATTATTCATATTTTCCCCTCTGAGCCTGAAGCCGCGCCCACCGGGCAGGTGGGCTCTTGGTGATGAGGACTGTTCCGGGGGTCCGACTCGCCAGGACACGAGCGGTGCTCCCCCGGCCGCGCCTCCCGGTGCCTGGGAGCCCGCCGCGGGCAGCGCCTCCGCTGCAGCCGCCCGCTCCGCATCCCACCGTCCCCTACGGCCCTTTCCCGACGGCGCCAGGCCTGTCCAGCTGCTCCTGACGGACCTCAGAGTGCGCCTGGCGGCGGCCGACCATCACATCTCCCTAGTGGTCACTGTATGTTTAAAAGATGGCAACACAGTGGCCTTTAAAATGGTGTGGCATTAAAAGTTTTCTTTTTCTTCTAAGAATTTCTGGCGTGGGCAAAGCGTAAAAGCCCGCGGGACGGTTGCCAGGCAGCACTCGGAGGCCCCGTGGGGCATCAGGACCGGGACGCGCCGCTTGTCCTCGCGGACCCGCGAAGGCTCGGAGTCTGGGGAGACTGCCAGTGTGGACCCAGCCTCTGGATTTCAGAGGCACTGCGTCGCCCGGGCTGCTGGGCTCACGTCAGAAGGGTGTCCTGCCATACACGTTTCTGGGGTCTCCAGCGGGGCAGTGGGCAGGAAGCCCTGGCGGCTGTTGCAAAGAAGGCAGTGCGAGGGGGGAGCATCAAAGCGGCCACAGGACGCGCGGCCTCCCTGGAAGCGCCCGGCCCGGGAGAGGCTGACCGAGCTCCAGGGCAGAGGTCGAGGCGGCTTGTTTTTTCACCTGTTTCCTACAGCCCTAGAAACCTCTGAAGAATGACTGTGTAACTATAGCAGACACTCAGGCGTCTCTCCAGGGACAGGAACGTTACAGTAGGAAGGGACAGCGGTTCCTATACAAGGAGAAACGAGCACACATCACACGTGCCTTTTACCGACGTTCGGCGGCCCTGAGTAACGTCGGCTGAGGCCATGCCCGGGCCCGTGGCCACACGAGGTAGCGCATGGCTTCCGGGGCAGCGCATGGCTTCGCTGAAGCTGGTCCTCGCTGTGACAGGGGCCATCACGGGTTCGGTGGGAGTCAACTTTGACACACGATGTTGAACGAGAAAAGCTACTTATACAGCAGGCAGGCGGGGAGGCAGAGATGCGGGGCTGCTGGGCGTCCAGACAGGGGCGAGCGGCAGAGCCGTAGCTTGGTGCGACCGAAGCCGGTCGTTTCACCTGTCTTTTCTAGCACAGTCTGACCTCTACAGCAGGCAAGCAGTGTTCACGGCTTAAGGATTTATCACTTAGAGAAAACAGTAAAATCTGTATGTCATCATTTCCAGCTGTCTAGCATTTCCTCCTGTCATTAAATATTAATACAGGATGAATATTTTTGTGGAGACACCTTTTTTCATTTTTAAAGGTTGTTTTCACGTTAGAAGCTGGTGTCCATTTAAATCCTTTGGCAGCTGGTATGTGTGTGTGTTTCTAAATATGGTCCCAGTGTGTGCAATAGTTAATTTGTAAACTAGCAGATTAAACTCTAAAATTAAGTCCTGCCTTTTATACTCTTGCCACCAGGTGGCTAAGAAAAAATATTAAGCAGGAAAACCCCAATAATTATGCGAAGGACTCATAATGACTTTCAATTTCTGCTTCAGCGATGAAATATGAAACTCTAGATGGACTGTGTTTCAGTAAGAAAACTGCTGAATAAGTGACAGAGGCATTTCAAGCAGTGCCAGGCCAGATGGACATTTCCATGAGTGTTTCTGTTTTCTTAAATATTGACAATGTTAAACTAACCAAATTTTGCTGAAATAAAACTTTTTGAGACTCTCTCTGAGCCTCTTCCACCTCTGGGCTGACCCCTGGATGTCCACATTATTCCTAACTAGTTGGGTTTGAGACAAGGGTTCAGCTTTTGGGCTTTAAGACTCCCAAGGGGAGGGTGACTAAGTCCTGATCACAGCAGGGCCTCCCAATCAGGAAAGTTGCTTGCAAAGGCATCGCTTGAGTTCATTTAGAATCAGTTCTAAAACCCAAAAGTAAAATGCATCAAGTTGAATGTTAATATATCTTGTATGTCTCTTCCACAGAGTCTTTTATTAATAAGATATTATAGGGAAATCTATGCATGGGGGGGGTGGTGACATAATAGGGTGGAAACGCCTTTAGGCTTTCTCTTCATGGAATGCACCTATTAAAGACAGCACCATGTGGCACCCCCCACCCCGTCCCACGTTGCTACGGCATCTTGAGATGGTGGATCTTGTCCGGTGAATTCAAAACCCAGTTTTGAATACAAAAACCAGTTTCCTCGCCGGTGCTCATGTGGCCACTCAACTTCTGTGCTTTCCACTTTGCCCTCCAGTTATCTAATTTATTAACTTTGACAAGTAACCTCTTGGTTGTACATGATTTTATTCACAATTCATTTTTCTGACTCAAAGTGAACATGAGTGCCTTAATCCTCTAATGGGACTTAATTGCTTGTTTCAGTGCTTAACTCTGATCCTTTCTCAATCCCCACAGGGATGAGGCTCTTCCTGAAGGATCTGTGTTTGTTGTTCAAAACACAATCAGAAAGGTAATGATGTTTTTCTTGTGAAAGGAGCCAGAAATGCAGAATATTAGTTTTCTATTACATAAGTAGTATTCTCAAACTAATATTATAAAGGATAAAATTCAGTAGATAAAATGTAGACAACTATAATTTGATCATTCTATGAGGCTACATTATTTCCTAGAAAAGTTTAAATTTTTATTGCCAGGTTTTGTTTTGTTTTTTTAATGGAAATAAGCTATCATCTTCTGTGGAAGAAAGTTACTGAACTGATTTTCTATAGAGTTGGAATCAACACCCTGTGGCTTAACCATGATCATTTCTATGTAATATCAATCACCTTCCCAGGTATTTGCTTTGGCTCTGAAAAATGAAGGCCACAACTAATGCTTGATACGGCTTGATTCCCTCTCCCATTTATTATGTAGAATGTTCTTTTTTGTTTTATTTATAAGGGGCTTCCTTGAGAAGAATATAAGCTAGTAGATATATAAGATCTTTATAAAGGAAGGAGTTGGGGTGGAGAACTTAGGCGGGAACAGCGTCAAGGGGAAAAGGGAATTAATTAACCTTCATCAGGTCCTGAGGCCTGACCCACAGTTGGCAGTCAGTAGTGATTAGCTCTTAGGGAGGCAGGATGAATGCAGTTTTAAAGAACAGGCATAGAAGTTCAGAGAGTTTAAATAACGTTCCCAGAGACCCACCGTTGTTTGTTAGGTGGTGGAGGTGGGAATTTGATTCAGGCCTGTCATTGTACCACAGTGTCCTTCTTTACACTTACGTGTGTGCACTGTGCCCTTTAATGGCCATCCAGCCCAATGATGTTCCCTGCAGGGGCTGGCCTGACCTGACCGTCAGTGTCCTAGAACAGGCCTACCTGGGAGCATCTACTTCACATTAAAGCAGAGATGCAACCGCTCCTGATGGGCACTCTTCAAGTTGCTCTGGAAAAGCCCAAATGGCTCACCTACAGCTGTTTCTATCCGTTATTTATTGAATCAAGTACTTGCATTTTATTCAAGACGCCAACCATAACCCATTGCCGTGGAAGGAACTACTACATGGCAGGAGGAGAATGGGGTGGAAGACAGACTGTAATGTATGAGCCTCAGAAGGTAGCATTCCCTTCTGCAGCGGCAGTGCTGCCCTCTCGTAGCCTGGCCCAGAGGTGTGTGTCAGGAGGGGCCCAGTGTGTTTGTTTCTGGCCTGAGTGAATCACAGGCATATTTTGAGTTAGCCCTGGCTGTGGTCTGAGCGGATCTGGCCAATGAAATAGTCTTTTCACATATTCTGATGGCTGTGACCTTCACAGCAGCCCTTGGAAATCAGCTGAACACGACGTACAAGGAACAGGAGTATAGGGCGATAAGGAACACGAAAAAGAAAAACTAAACCCAAAGCTAGCAGAGGAAGGAAATAATACAGATGAGAACAGAGGTGAATAGAGAAAAATCAATGAAACCAAGAGTTGATTTTCTTAAAAGAGCAACAAACTTTTTAACTAGATTAACTAAGAAAAAAGAGAAGATGCAAATAACTAAAAAATAAAGAACGTTAAAACCCATTTTACAAAAATATAAAGGATTGTAAGAGAATACTGTGAACAATTGTATGGCAACAAATTGGTAACCTAAATGAAATGGATAAATTCCTAGAAACACATACCTTACTAAGACTGAATCATGATGAAATCGAAAATCTGAACAGACCTATAACTAGTAAGAAGATTGACTCAGTAATCAAAAGTCTCTCCACAATGAAAATTCCAGAACCAGCTGGCTTCACTGGTGAAGTCTACCAAACATGTAAAGAGAATCAGCATGAGTTCTCCTCAAACTCTTCCCAAAAATTTAAAAGGAGGGAAACACTTCCAAACTCATTCAATGAGGCCAGCACAACTCTGATAACCGAAGGCAGAAGAAGACACTATAAGAAAAGTACAGACTAATATCTCTGACAAAGATTGATGCAAAAATTCTAAACAAAATACTAGCAAAGAGAATTCAATAACACAAAAGGATTATATACCATGACCAAGGGGGATTTATTGGAATGCAAGGATGGTTCAACATATGAAAATCAGTCAATATAGTACACTACTACCTTTTTTTTTTTTTTTTGCAGTACGCGGGCCTCTCACTGCTGTGGCCTCCTGCCGTGGAGCACAGGCTCCAGACGCATAGGCTCAGCAGCCATGGCTCACGGGCCCAGCCACTCCGCGGCATGTGGGATCCTCCCGGACCGGGGCATGAACCTGTGTCCCCTGCATCGGCGGGCGGACTCTCAACCACTGTGCCACCAGGGAAGCCCTATAGTACACTACTGTAACAGAATGAAGGGAAAAAAAAACTATCATCTCAATTGGTACAGAAAATCATTTGACAAGATTCAACACCACTTCATGGTAAAACACTTAAACTAGGAATAGAAGGAAATTACCTCAGCCTAATAAAGGCTGTATATGACAAGCCCATAGCTAACATCACACTTAATGGTGAAAAAGCTTTATAGATAGGGATGTTTGCTTTTACCACTTTTATTCAATATAGTGATAAAAGTTATACGTGGACAATCAGGCAAGAAAAAGTAATAAAAGACATCCAAATTGGAAAGGAAGAAGAAGGATTCTGTCTGTCCACATGATCTTATGTAGAAAATCCTAACATTTCTACAAGAAAACTATTAAAACTAGTAAATGAATTCAGCAAAGTTGCAGGGTACAAAATCAGTGTACAAAAGTCAGTTGCATTTCAATACATTAATGATGAACAATCCAAAAAAAGTTTTTTAAACAATTCCACTTACAATAACATCAAAAAGAATAAAATACTTAGGAAACTTAACCAAGGAGATGAAAGACTTGTACACTGAAAACTACAAAACATTGTTGAAAGAAATTAAATAGAAAGACCTCTTCATGGATTGGAAGACTTAATATTAAGATGTCAGTACCACCTAAACAGATTTAATGCTATTCTTGTCAAAATTCCCAATAGTGTTTCTTTCAGGAAAAAAAACCCCAAAAAAAAACCCATCCTGAAATTCATACGGAATTTCAAGGGACCCCAAGTGAGCAGAGCAATCTTGAGGAAAAAACAAAAAAACAGTAAAGTTGGAGGTCTCATATGTCCTGATTTCAAAACATACTGCAAAGCTACAGCAATCAAAACAGCATGATACTGACATTAAGACAGATATGTAGATCAATTGAACACAATAGAGAATGCAGAAATAAATCCTTAGATATATGGTCAAATGATTTTTGACAAAGGTGGAAAGACCAACAGGGAACAGATGGTCTTTTCAACAATTGGAAAACTAGATATTTATATGCAAAAGCATGAAGTTGGGTCCTTACTTTACACTGTATACAAAGATTAACTCAACATGGATAAAAGTGCTCAACGTAAGAGCTAAACTATAAAACTCTTAGGAGAAGACACAGGGCAAAAGCTTCATGACACTGGGCTTGGCAAGGGTTTCTTGGATATGACACCAGAATGACAGGCAATAAAAGCAAGAATTGGGTGACATCAAAATTTAAAACTTCTGTGCAGCAAAAAACACAATCAACAGAGTAAAAAGGTGACCTCAGCCTATGAAATGGGAGAAAATATTTGCAAATCATATATCTAATAAGAGGTTAATATCCAGAAGATACAGAGAACTCCAGTAACTCAACAAAGAAAAAAAGTCTGATTGAAAAACAGGCACCAGGGCTTCCCTGGTGGTACAGTGGTTAAGAATCCTCCTCCCAATGCAGGGGACATGGGTTCTAGCCCTGGTCAGGGAACTAGATCCCACATGCATGCCACAACTAAGAGTTTGCATGCCACAGCTAAGGAGCCAGTGAGCTGCAACTGAAGGAGCCGGCGAGCCACAACTTAAGGAGCCCTGCCTGCTGCAACTAAGACCCAGCGCAACCAAAATAAATAAAACAAAACAAAACAACAACAAAAGAAAAAACAGGCAAAGGACTTGAAGAGACATTTCTCCAAAGAAGATATGCAATGGCCAACATGAAAAGATGTTCAACATCACTAATCATTACAGAAATGCAAATTAAGACTCACGATGAAACAAAATGAAAAGACAGCCCACAGCATGGGAGAAAATATTTGCAAACGAAGTGACCAACAAGGGAATTAATCTCCAAAATATACAACAGCTCGGGCTTCCCTGGTGGCGCAGTGGTTGAGGGTCCACCTGCCGATGCAGGGGACACGGGTTCGTGCCCCGGTCCGGGAGGATCCCACATGCCGTGGAGCGGCTGTGCCCGTGGGCCATGGCCGCTGGGCCTGCGCGTCTGGAGCCTGTTGCTCCGCAGCAGGAGAGGCCACGGCGGTGAGAGGCCCGCGTACCGCAAAAAAAACAAAACAACAACAACAAAATACAACAGCTCATGCAGCTCAATATCAAAAAAACAAACAACCCGATCAATAAATGGGCAGAAGACCTAAATAGACACTCAAAAGGAGACATACACGTGGCCAAAAAGCACATGAAACGATGCTCAACGTTGGTAATCACAGAAATGCAAATCAAAACTATTATGAGGTATCACCTCACACAGGTCAGAATGGCCATCATCGAAAAGTCTGCAAATAATAAATGCTGGAGAGGGTGTGGAGAAAAGGGAACCCCCCTTACACTGCTGGCAGGAATGTAAATTGGTAGAACCACTATGGAGAACAGTATGGAGGTTCCTTAAAAGCTAAAAATAGAACTACTATATGATCCAGCAATCCCACTCCTGGGCATATATCCAAAGAAAACCATAATTCGAAAAGATACATGCACCCCAGTGTTCACTGCAGCACTATTTACAATAGCCAAGACATGAAAGCAACCTAAATGTCCATCGACAGATGAATGGATAAAAAAGATGTAGTATGTATATACAATGGAATATTACTCAGCCATAGAAAAGAACGAAATAATGCCATTTGCAGCAACATGGATGGACCAAGAGATGATCATACTAAGTGAAGTAAATCAGAAAGAGAAAGACATATATAATATCACTCATGTGGACTCTCATTTAAAAAAATGATACAAATGAACTTATTTACAAAACAGAAAAACACTCACAGATTTCAAAAACATTATGGTTACCAAAGGGGAAACGGGGGGGGGGCATAAATTAGGAGTTTGGGATTAACATACACACACTACTATATATAAAATAGATAACCAACAAGGACCTACTGTATAGCACAGGGAACTCCTCAATATTCTGTAATAACCAATATGGGTAAAGAATCTGAAAAAGAATGAATATATGAATATGTATAACTGAATCACTTTGCTGTACACCTGAAACTAACACAACATTGTAAATCAACTATACTCCAATAAAAAAAATTTAAAAAAACCCACAGTGAAATACCACCCCACACCCTTTAGGATGGCCACTATAAAAAAAGAGAGAGAGAGAAGGGAGGAAGGGAGGAAATAAGTACCAGTGGGGATGTGGAGAAATTGGAACCCTTGTGCACTGTAGGTGGGAGTGTAAACTGGCCGTCACCAGCCTCTCTGGTCCCCAGAGTTGCTACATTACTGGCTTTCTCTTGGCGACACACTCCCGTCTCCGGTACCCTAGTGAACTCTTCTCACCACCCGTCTAAGCAAGCAGCTCCTGAGGCACTGCTGCTTCCTGTCCCACGTCGAGCCTCCAGAAGGACACAGTGGCCGAGCCAGGGCCCCGTGAGGGAAGGCCCGGTGGTGCAGTGGCGCGAGGAACAGGCTCCTTTATCCCCGCTCTGTCCCTAAAGGCCACTCCCCGTGACCCATGAAGACAACAGATGGGAGAGGGCAACGAGATTCTGGAAGATAGATAGAGAGATGAGTGCTGGCTGACTCAGCAGCCTCGAGACACCGGAAACCTAAATCCCTGCTGGGGAGCCCGCCAGCAGCGCCCCGGACGCCAGGGAAGCTCCCACTGCTGCCCTGTAGTCGTGTGAGGGCGGGGTGAGGGGTGGAAAAGGAGGAGGGGGCCGTTTGAGCAGGAAGCAGAGACCCCGACCGTCCCTCTGCCCAGCAGGGCAAGGGTGGGTTACTGTTGGGAGAAGCTTAGCAGGAAGTCTGGTGTCGGGAGGACCAGGCCCAGCCAAGGGTGCAGGCGAGGGGCACCCTAAAGAAAGACGGGGAGGGAGAGGAGTCCACATTCCTGTGGATTCCATTATCCAGCCCTCACGCCAGGCCGGCCAGTCGACAGGCTCCCCCTCACACACAGCTTCCTGCATGGTGTCCCACTTTCCACGTGAAAGGCCAGCCAAGGATACTGAGATGCTTGAAGAAAACCTCTTAAAGAAACATAAAACAAGGAGAAGAGAGGAATTTAAGAGAAGTAGAGGCAATACTGGGAAAGATAAACTTAAAACCCCTCCAAATTCATGATGAGGAGAGATGGGATTATGCTGAGAAAGAACTGGATGCTGACGAAATGAGGGAACAGGAAAAAGATCTTGGAAATAAATATGGTGGCAAAAATATTTTTCAAAATAATAGAAGTGCTGGAAGATAATAGACTACAAAAAGAAAAGTGGGAGATTAATCCAGGATATGCAACATCTGAGTTCTGGAGACCCAGAAAGAGAACAGGAAGGAAGGAGAGGGAAGAAAATTCCTAGGACCCAAGATAATGAGTCTTCAGATGGAAGTTTCTGGCACAATGAATGAAAAAATCCCACATGGAGACTCCTTATTATAGAACCTCACAATCCAAGGGCGAAAAGAAGCCCCTAGGAGCCTCCAGAGAAGAACCTGAGTCCCGTACAAGTGGTTGTGGGTCCCAATGGCCCTGGATGTCTCAGCATGAACGGGAGCATCAGAAGACAAGGAAGAAACGACTTCAAAATTCTGGAAGAAAGCAGTGAGAAATCTCACCTAGTTACACTGTTAAGTGAGGTTGGGAAAGAACAAGCTTCAGTAAAATGAGGGAGTCAACCAAGAAGGGGCCGTGGGACGCAGGGACAGGGCTCTGGGAGAAGCGTGGGATGCACTGCAGACCAGGCTGGAGCAGGGAGGCCGCCGGGAGCCACAGCTCCCGGGAGGAATGGAAGCCGCGGGGGGTCAGGGCCGAAAGGGTTCCTCAGGTGCCTTCAGAAAACATGAGGCCGGAGGCTGTCAGAGGAACTGGAGCAAAGCGCAAAAAAGGAAAAAAGGCCGAAGTAATTTTCAATTCCAAAAAAAACAAGAAGTCCAAGAAAGGAAATTAATCATAGTACACTATGTGCCTTATCTGAGAACAGTGTCTACATAGTCTTAATGCTGAACTGAATATGGATTTGACCAAAAATTGTGATGTGAGCCTATTGGAGGAATGTGGGGCGAGAGGCAGGCGCCAGGCTCTATAGCAGGAACGTCTGACGCAGCCTTACCGAGTGGGCGGGACCGGCCCCGGGTGTCAACTCCTGCACCACCACAGCAGTCCTCCAGGCAGGTGGCTGTCTGCCTCCTCTGACAGTCCAGGAAGCCGGGGCACAGAGAGGTTAAGTTGTTTGCCTAAAGTCACACAGCTAATAAGTGGCAGAGCCAGGATTTCAACCCAGGGAAGTTGGTTCTAAAGTCTGTGCTTTAAACCGCTGTGCTCACCTGCTTTGGGTAGGAAGGCAGACAATTTAAGACATCGGGAAGCAGCGGTATAACCAACAACGTGGAGGCAAATACCAAATGCAACAACATTTCAGGGGCTTAAACAGGTCTCTTCAAGGGAGTGGGAATGGGTAGGGATTTTAGTTTCCTTGTGAAGTTATTTGACTTTATCTTACGGACACGTGTTGCTTTAAAATCTAATCAAAGGGCGGGGACACGAGAGCACCAGCGATCAGGAGTGACGAGCAATGTGATACCTCCAGTGTCAACTGGTCTGGCCCCGGCCCAGCTGTGTGGCCTCAGTCCTCACCAACCCGAGACTCGGCCTTGAGGGACTGGGCCGTTTCGCTGAGCTCTCAACTCTTCACGTTCTGGTAGCGAACAAGGCAAGCAGTGGTTTAGAGAACATGCGCCACGAAGAGAGCCAACCAGGGTGATGGAGGGCTGTGGTGGGTGCCGCTCAGGGAGGGTGTCACCTGGAAAGGGAGGCAAGGGCTCACGGCCACAGGCCCCAACAGGCTGAGCCCTGGAGAGTGTGTGGCCAGGCCCCTGGGGGCTGCACGGGGACAGGCCGGAGGGACCAGGCAGCGGGCCCACCAGGGTTCTGGGGGACGGTCCCGGCGAGGGTGGGAGCCGTGCATCCCACTTTGACCTGGAGTTGTTACTGCCAGAACATGCTGGAAGGCGGATGCAAGTGTGGGAGAGGGAAGGCGGGGCTGGCTGGGCTCCTGCCCACCCTAGGCCCCCCGCTCCATCTCTCCATCCTCCCAGGCACGCCCTCCCGCAGCAGCAGTGGGCCTGCCGCCTCCTCGGCCCCTGCACCTCCGAGTCCGGGCTCTCCTCATTCACAGCTTGACTTGCATACCTGGGCAGCCGCCGCTTAAGCCTCACCACTCCGATCTGCCCTTCCTCTGCTGTCAGTCACTACAACGAGAGCTCCCATCCCGTCTCTGTCCTGCTGAAGGCTGGCGGCTGAGACCGAGGCGGCAGAGAGGAAGGGTCGGCCCGAGTGGGCAGCTGTGATGGCCTGTGGGCACCACCCATCCTCCCTGGACGCCCTGAGGAGGTGGGGCGAGGCCCAGACCCCCAGACCAGCCCGTGTTTGCTGGGAAGAAAGTCGAGTCCTGTGAGTTAAGTGTGACTTCTCCAAGGGCCACTTGGCCATGTGACTGGCGGCAGAGCCTGCTTGGCACACCGGGGCCATGTCCCTCGGTGTCTGAAGGGCTGGGGGCAAGCGGGGCAGCTAGATGCCAGGCTTGGAAGAGGGGCCCATACATTTAACTTTTCGTTTCCATTTTTGTTTGAGTCACTTTTACACAAATCACTTTGGTCGGTTATGTAATAATCTGTGGCCCAGACCCAGGAAGGGGGGTAAATATTTACCTTCTCTCTCACTGGAGACATGGTCGGTCGCTGGGCTGAGTCACAGGGAGGCAGTGTCACCCTCTAGGACCTTGAAGAAGGAAGGAACACAGAAAGGTGCAGCTAACGTTTTGCTGCGTCTTGCCAGGGCCAGAATGTAAATTTAGTGCTGAAACCGGAATTCTCTTTGGTAGCCGATGACAGGTGATTATTCATGTATATAAATATACACGTGTGTGTGTGTGTATATATATATATGTTTCTATTTGCTTATCGTTATTTTTACTTTTCTGTAATATTTACTGTTTAAAGTCCTCTTAAAGAGACTGAAAACTAACTGCTCTACAAAACCGCACTTCTACAGGGCTTGCCGCCACGACGGGCTGCCTCATCTGACACGAGTCGCTCTTCCTGGAACCCTGCCTGGGAAGGGTGTCGTCTGGTCGGGAGTGGAGGCCCGGGGCGAGGCCACCCGTTTCCCCGCCGCGTGGGACCTGTGCGTCCGTCCTCGCTCGCTCGCAGCTCCCGGCTGCATGGCCCACGTGTTCGTGTACGGGACCCTGAAGACGGGCCAGCCCAACCACCGGGTCCTGCTGGAGAGCGCCCACGGTCGCGCGGCCTTCCGGGGCTGGGGTCGCACGGTCGAGCCGTACCCGCTGGTGATCGCGGGGCAGCGCAACATCCCGTGGCTGCTGAACCTGCCGGGCCAGGGGCGCCGAGTGGCTGGGGAGGTCTACGCCGTGGACGAGCAGATGCTGCGCTTTCTGGACGAGTTCGAAGGCTGCCCGGACATGTACCAGCGCACCCGGGTGACAGTCGCTGTTGAGGGGGCGGGCGGGACCCTACAGTGCTTCGTGTACAGCACGGCCACCTACCCGCCCGAGTGGGTCCACCTCCCGTACCACGACGATTACGACTCACAGGGGGAGCACGGGCTTCGCTATAGTCCGCGGGAAAGCAGATGAGAAGTGCGAGGGGAACGGCCGCCCGAGGACCGAGAGCCTGGTGGTTGGAAGATGGCCTCACTGGTCCGCACTCACTGAATGCAAAAGCCCGAGAACACCCTTTGAAACAAACATTTATAAATCTCTATGGGGGGTGGGGGGGTGGGGCAGCCGATTTCCCAAATAATTCTGACATGACTAATAACAAGATTGTTTCCTGAAATCTGTCTTGCTGATGCTGCTTTATTGCTTGCTGCTTAAAGAGCATCATGGGCTTGAACGTACTGGATGAGAAAAACTCAGAATTTTAATTCCCCTAAATGACATTTTGAAAACTCATGTTACGCTTTTATTATGTTGGTGTTTTTTGTTTTTTCCTTTGCTTTGCTTTAGTTTGAAGATAACATTTAAAATGAATATAAAGACTTTGTGTGGCAGCTAGATTTTAACAGCCCTGCTCTATCAGTTCTGCCTGACCTGTAGCACTGAGAAATTTTTTTAAAGTTGATTTTAGGCGTCTCAATGTAATAAAAGAACCTCAAGAAAAACACGCTGTATTTTAGAGTACTTCTGAATATATATAACATCATTCTTCATAATTTTCAGATCAGGCTTATTACAGAGATTATTAAAGATCATTTAAGGTTAAACTAGATGTTTTGGGAAATCAAATATTAAAAGCATTGGTGCTATTGTTGGCCCTCTTTTTAAGTCTCCTTATTTGGTAGAAGGTTCTTTTCATTCTCATCTAGCAAAATAGCAAGCGCCCACTTGCTGGCAGAGCAGCTGAACAGCCCAGTTTCAGACGGAAGCTCACGGGAGCGCAGGGCAAGGCGCGGTCCCTGCCCCCACAAGTGAGCAGCGTTTGGGGGCGGGCCTTTTGGAGAAGAACCAACACATTAGTAATTTGTTTTTCAGGCCTGACAGAAAGCTTCGCTTCCAAATACAAACAGCACCTAAAATAATTTTAGCAAGGCACGAAGTACCAATTACTACCCACCTCCATCTGATAATCTGTCAGGGTTAGAGTCAAATCAGCGTAGGACTCTGCCTCTACTTCCTTACCAGCAAAGTACGAAATGTATTCTGCGAATTTCAGAACCAGGTGAAAACGCAGCGGCTGGTTCCGAGTTAAGCTCGTTCTCCACTGGGAGAGCTCACTCGCTCTTCAACTTAACGGTAGACTGTGATCTGTAACTGCATCTGCCACAAAAGCATGACCGTGATTTTTAGCCCTTTTTTCTTAATTGGAAACTTGCTTCACAAAAACACAGAAAGGCGAGTATGGATGTCAGCTGATGAGTTGTGGCAGCCCCGCCCACCACCACTGGGCCAGGGGAGCCCCGAGTGGTACCCGCACCGGTGCCCCGGGACGGGGAAGGGGGTCGCCCCTGGGGACTCGGGGTCCACACTCACCGTTAGAGCCACACAGGAGGGATTTCCAGGACCATCATCTGCGCTGTCTGGGCTTCGGGAGGTTATGAACGACCAGAAGCAGGAGTTAGGTCCTCAAGCAGGATGAAGCAGGTAATCAGGTTACAAAGTGGCAAATGCTAACAACGAAACTGAGGGCCAAGAACTGGGATTTATATAAATTTTTAAAAAGGATCCTGATGAAACACTAGTATTTAAAGTCTACTGGCACAGCCCATAGCCTCTTATGTATATTGTCTTCATTCAAAAAAAGGGCAAACTAATATTTAGACAAATGTTCAGTTTTATTGATTTAATTTTGACACTAGGAAATCTCACAGCAGAAGTACAAATCTTTTTTTTGTTGTTTTTTTTTGCGGTATGCGGGCCTCTCACTGTTGTGGCCTCTCCCGCTGCGGAGCACAGGCTCCGGACGCGCAGGCTCAGTGGCCATGGCTCACGGGCCCAGACGCTCCGCGGCATGTGGGACCTTCCCAGACTGGGGCACGAACCTGCGTCCCCTGCATCGGCAGGCAGACTCTCAACCACTGCGCTGCCAGGGAAGCCCAGAAGTACAAATCTTATGTACAAGTATTTATATATCAATAAAAATTTCCATTGGTGATTTTTTGGCAGAATGTTGGTCTTGACTATATGTGGAATAAATATGACCATGTAAAATCTGCTACACAGGGGTGTTCCTGCAAAACGCTTGAATAAATTGAGTGTGAAATAACAATAATACGAATGGCTAATTAAATCGGGTGATGACTGAAAGGCTATAAATACTTCATTCCAGTTCCACTAGCAGATCTCCTTCTCCAACTGTGTCTCCAGCTTTACAATGCACCGATTTCACCTTGAATTAAAAAAAAAAGGGGGGAGGAGGGTAAGAATTATTAACTAGACCAGGAGGAAGCAATCTCGTCATCCATTTCTGGACATGAAGGGAGAGCCTGGCGGGCTTTGGAGCAGACAGAACATTCGGAGGTAGGGCGTCCATCATAGGGGACCTCGAGCACAGGGACGTCCTCGCTGCCGCCGTGGGCTGTGAGTCGCCACCTTCCCCTCCTTATCTTTGTCGGTCCTAAAAGCTGCTGGTCGCAGGGCATCTGTGCTGTCCTTTGCACAGGGTGCCCTCGGGGGTCTCAGCTGGCAGTGATTATGCTGGATGAGTCTCCACACCCGGGAGAGTTAATGGTGTACTTAGTGTTAAACAGACAAACCCATTCACAATTATACAGGAGTCAAAACAGGTACTAATTAACAGGAGAAATTCCCTAGCCTGACCAGAAGCCTCCTTCTGAAGGGAAATGAAATTCCTCAGAGAACAAGCGCTGCTCTTGGCGGCGCGACGTGGGGCAGGCACTGGGCTCCCGTGACGCTGCCTCCGTGCCCTTTCACTCCACTGATTTCTCCCGATTTTAGTCAACTTTTGCTTTCCCAAATTTGTGTTCACTTTTAAAACTAGAGACAGTCATTTGACTTGGAAGTTCTTGCTGGGGCATGAAGATGAATGATGATGGGTTGGAAGTTAACTGGCCGTCTGGGCAAGTGGCAAACAGGAAAAGTGGAGAGACGTGGGGTTGGGTGCCCTGGCCTGTGTCCCCGCGTCTCTGCCATGAGCCAGCAGCAGCGAGAAGGGCCTTCTCCCCTCGAGTTCCAGCCCGGGGTCTCTCGGGACCAAGAGAAGCTGTGCAGTGACACTTGAAAGGCCTCGTTCCACAGGAGCTATTTGCACTGAAGTGGCCGCTTTTTATGATCTGAAGCCGCCGGTGTTTTTACAGGATGTATTTGTCATGATGCTGCGATTCCAGAGTGGAGGACCTGCTTCCACTGTGAACAGGCCCCCGGGAGGAGAACTGGCCTCTCAAAGCAAAAACTGCCAGCCCCAGGCTCAGGGGCCCGGTCCTCCCTGCCCTGTGGGGCAGGGCCAACGTGCAAGTTCACCCAGAGCCCATCACCACCCTGACAGCACCAGGGCCTCCCCAGGAGACCCAGGCCCCGAGGACATAGACCACGCAGACGGGGAGGGAGCTAAGGCCATGTTCACTTTGGCGTCAGTGCCTCAGTCCAGCACACGGGCCGCTGGTGCATCTGACGTATATTCTGGGCCCCCAAACGAGGCCAAGTGCTCGTCACAGAGGGGAAAGCTCATGACAGTAATGCAGCGTAAATGCTGACTAACCCCAAGGGACAAACAGAACAATTTTTACAAGAGCAGAAACCAACACTTTGTTCATTTCTTAAAGGGTCATCAGGTATGAAAAGCAGGATTCCCCCGAAGCTGCAGAGCATGCCAATCTCCTCTCCCAAACCCCGAGGAGACTGGGTGCAGCCGTCTGATGCCCCTCCATCCTGGTCACACGCTGGGCCTCTGCCCTCCTGGCTGGGGCTGGACTGGGGCGTCCCCCTCGGCCTGTTCTCTGAACATCGGTTTCATTTCCTTTGGGGCAGGCAACTGGAGGCTGTGTCTCTCTGATGCAGACTTCACTGGCAGCTGACAGTACCTTCTGCCAGGACACCCACTGTCCCCAAGGCTCAATCGCGCCTTCCAGGCATGGCCACAGTGCAGGACACAGCCAACCTACACTGCTGTCCCCACCCCACCTGACCTGCCCTGTCTCTCCTCGCTCCACTGTGTGGTACTTTCAAACCAAACCATCCTTCAGAAAAGGATCGTTCTGCTACAAGTGGTGCCTTTCTAGTCGCAGGAAGAATAATGAAGTTATTGCTTAAAAAGACTTTTCTATTTCCTTCAATGAGAAAATTCATTTAAGAAGTTTTACTCTTAACAGATGTCAGTACTAATACATCTTTTTTTCCTCCCTAAATCGTTAGGTCCCACGCGTGGATGTGGGTCTTTCAGCTTTTTTTTTTTTTTTTTTAAATTTATTACCCAGGGATTCCCTGGTGGCGCAGTGGTTGAGAGTCCGCCTGCTGATGCAGGGGACACGGGTTCGTGCCCCGGTCCGGGAAGATCCCACATGCCGCGGAGCGGCTGGGCCCGTGAGCTATGGCCGCTGAGCCTGCGCGTCCGGGGCCTGTGCTCCGCAACGGGAGAGGCCACAGCAGTGAGAGGCCCGCGTACCGCAAAAAAAAAAAAAAAAAAAAAATTTATTACCCATTTACTTATTTTTGGCTGTGCCGGTTCTTCGTTGTGGTATGCGGGATCTTTAGTTGCAGCATGCGGACTCTTAGTTGCGGCATGCAAGCAGGATCTAGTTCCCCAACCGGGGATCGAACCCGGGCCTCCCGCACTGGGAACACAGAGTCTTACCCACTGGACCACGAGGGAAGTCCCCCTTTCAGCTCATCTTGATCTAAAAGCGAATTGTTCTCTTTGTGGAGAAATTATCTTGAAAAGTTGCATTAACTTTTTTTTTTTTTGCGGTACACGGCTCTCTCCCTGTTGTGGCCTCTCCCGTTGCAGAGCACAGGCTCCGGACGCGCAGGCTCAGCGGCCATGGCTCACGGGCCCAGCCGCTCCACGGCATGTGGGATCTTCCCGGACCGGGGCACGAACCCGTGTCCCCTGCATCGGCAGGCGACTTCTCAACCACTGCGCCACCAGGGAAGCCCCGAGTTGCATTAATTTTTGCAATCTCTAAAACCATTTCCTGCTGTGTCACCTAAGTCTCAGATAACTAACTGCCTCTAAGACAGATGTAAACATTAAAAATTAAAGACCCCTTAATTCGAAAGACATTAAGGTGAAGAACAGTTGTTCTTTGACTCCCTGGATGTCACACAGACTCTCCTAGAAGGCCTGCAGGTCACGTGAATGCAGAACACAGGGGGCCCCGATTGCAGCGCCCTCGTCCGCAAGAGGGAGAGGCTGGGAGAGACCCCGTCCGCCGTCCCCCTCAGGCCCCAACCGTCCAAGATTCCAAGGTGGAGGTTCTGCTTCCTGTCACAGCAGCCTGGGCTGGGGGGACCTCGGGGACATACCTTGCCAGTTTTCCCAGCTGTCATACTGTTCTGCATCTTCATGGCTTCAATCACACAAATTTCCTGACCTTCTGCTACCTGGAAAATGAACAAAAAGTGGACAGAAGTTTTAAGAGCATTTGAATTTTGCAAGAATGTTCAAGAGTGAGGCCATTAAGAGAATCTTTTTGTCAAATGCTCTGAAATATAATCCAAACAGCAGCAATAGCCTCTAATACTTCGTATTCCAAGTACATCTTCGGGGACCGCAGAGAAAGGCCATTCCTTCTATCATCAAGTCCTTGTTAGAAAAACATCCCTGATATTGGAGGCTTTGGGTGCTGCTTGTGGGGCCTCTCCTGGGAATCTCTGAATCTGCCTCTGCCACAGAGCTGTGGCAGAAATGGAATGCCTTCCACTTACGTGAAATGTCCAGGGTTAGCACGTCTCTACGGACAGAAAGATCTGTGGCTTCCAGGGGCGGAGGGGAAGGGGGAGTGCTTGCGGGTGGGTGCAGAGGTTCTGCGGGGGTGATGAAGTGCTCTAGGATTGACTGTGGCAATGGTTGCACAATTCTGTGAACAGACAAAAACCACTGAAGTGCACGCGTTAAAGGGGTGATTGTATTGTATTGTGAAGTTTTATCTCAGTAAAGCTGTTAGCAAAAAATGGAGTTTCTGTCCGTAGCCCTGGGGGGCCGGGAACAACATCCAAGCACCCGGGCCATGGGGACTGCTCTCCCAGCCTTTGCATGGCATGCCAAGGACTGACAACCGGGTGGCTCCCAGAAAGCGCCTTCAGGTAGTGATTTCTGGAGCTCCACCCATTCCTTGCAAGGAGGCCGGTAGCTCCCAGGGGCACTGGCTCAAGCTTCGTGCTCAGCTGTTTGCCTTCTTGGGTGAGGGAAATCCAGGCACAGCTGGGTATAAATCCCCTGGGGTTAAACCTGGGACTCCCACCCAGGAGTCAGCTGTGACTAAAGGCCCTTGTATCTATTCTCCTTTCTCTGCCCTTGATGGGTAAGCACCAAGGAACTGGGCTTGCATTTTTCTCCCATCTTTGTGAAAAGGGCCTTGAAGTCTTTGAAATGGGCGAGCTGAATTTCCTGGGGCACCGGCTGTGTGGGGTGCTGGTAGGCATCCTGGCGTGGGGCTCCTGGACCCTTGTGCTCATCCAGCGTTGCAGAAGTGCCTGGAGAATGTTCTTTCCTGAAATCCCCAGATGATCTCCAAGCCCCCCTCCCGGCCCCCCGTGGGGCACAAGCTGTCTCGCTGGCATCGGGACCGCCTGAGCCCTATGCGTTCCTCTCCTCTGCTGATCAGGTGGTGGGCTGCTTTTTCCTGGCACAGAAATATAGGAAGAGAGGGGATGCCAAAGCTTTGGTGCTGGCACGGAGGCGACACTGCGCTGGAGAGCTGGGCACACACGCCGTGCTCACGGCCCTTTGTGACTCACCGTCGTCACCTGGCACCTGCATTCCAGAGAGCGGAGAACTAACTTGCTAGGGTTGCTCTTCAAC